ATTGAGAGCAACATTGATATTGGAGGGGGGGGGTACCACCATCCCCTTGAGGTTGGCAAGGGTACGATATGTTTGGCGTCCGCTGTCCCTCTCCTGCAATATCCTCCCCATCCAGCCTCCTCTCCTGTCCCCCGTAGGTTGCACAAATACATTAGCAAGCATGTGATTCAGCTTTGGGTTGACGAGTGCTGTCGAGGAGTTCCGCCTTCGGTGGGCATTTCATCATCATCACCATCATCAGCAGCAGCATCATCAGCAGCATCATCGTCACCATTCGTCATTATCACCATCATCAGCAGCAGCATCATCGTCACCATTCGTCATTATCATCACCAGCATCATCATCAGCATCATCATCATCAGCATCAGCATCAGCATCACCACCATATCACCATCATCAGCATCATCATCATCCAACACATCATCACCATCATCATCAACATCAGCATCAGCAACATCACCATCATCGTCATCATCGTAATCATCAACATGAACAGCAGCAGCAGCATCGTCATTAGCAGCAGCAGCAGCAGCAGCAGCAGCAGCAGCAGCAGCAGCATCCTCAGCATCAGCACCAGCAGCAGCATCATCATTGCCCAGCCTCCCCGCGCGAACCCTGCCGCGAGCCGAGCCCCCACCCCGCCTGGAGGCCTGCCGCCCCTCGGCATGGGCGGCGGCGTTCCTCCGGTCGCCCCCGGCACCAGGAAGTCGACCATGATTCAGAAGCAGCCGTCCGGCGGGAACATCAGGAGAGACAGGAAGAGGAGGGGGAGGAGGAGGAGAAGGAAAAGGAGGAGGAGGAGGAGGACGAGGAGGAGGAGGAGGAGGAGAAGGAAAAGGAGGAGGAGGAGGAGAGGAGGAGGAGGAGGAGGAGGAGGAAGGGCAGGGGGAGACGGGGGGGTGTAACGGGCGGGAGGAGGAGGGGAAGGAGGCGGGGTGAGGCGGGGGAGGGAGGGGGGAGGAGGAGGAGGAGGAGGAGGAGGAGGAGGAGGAGGAGGAGGAGGAGGAGGAGAAGGAGGAGGAGGAGGAGGAAAAAGGAGGATGAGGAGAAGAGGAGGAGGAGGAGGAGGAGGAGGAGGGGCAGGAGGAGGAGGAGGAAGACACGCGTCTCTCTTCAAAGCCCGATGACTGTCGCGATGTAGCAGGAATGGCACTTGGGCTTCCAAGAAGGGGGGAAACGGGCCAGGGCGCATGACAAGAGTTCGCTCGCGCCCAGATTGCGGGGGCCTCTCGTTCAGGATGCCGCTCTGGACATGTAGACTATTCAAGACGCTTCGCGTAACCCCACCAGATGTTCTGCCTGCGGCTTTACAGTGCCCCGCTGTCCGTCTTGGCCTCGCTTCCGAATGTGGTTCGGCTGGAGCTTGGCGCCGCAAGGGCGACTTCTCCCCCCCGTTCCGCTGCCGGTCGCCGCGCCTTTGCTTCTCCACCTGCCGGGTTGTCAGGGCTGGTCACCTGTCGACGCTGTCTTGCGTCTCAGTGAGGGGCATTTTGTCCCTGGCATGTGCATACGCCACTGCGGCCAATTTACATCGTACCGCGCCCCGGACGTTGTGCCCGCTCCCTGTCCTTTGCCTTGGAGCCGCGAACCAAAAAGTAACCCCACCAGCGCTTCGTTCTGACGGTGCCCGGCGTCTTCCGGTGCGCTTGCGATCAAAAAGTAACCCCACCAGCCCATCCTTCCTTCTGGTGCGCTTGCGATCAAAAAGTAATCCCACCAGCCCATCCAGAAACGATGTCCAGGCGAGTTGCCCCGATCAGGCATGTGGGGGAGCACGCAGTGGAATAAAGGCTGGAAGCCACCATACCCCAAGAGGAGGAGGATTTAGGAGTAACCAGAGGAGGAGGAGGAGGAGGAGGAGGAGGAGGACGAGGAGGACGAGGAGGAGGAGGAGAACCAGTGCAAACCCAAGAACCATCAACGATGTTAGAAACAAATCCTCCAAGCTCCCTCTTCACTGGCCCCTACAAGGATTCATTCCCACTGAAGGAAGTGGCCCGTTGGGAGACAACCGTTTGAAGATCCAGAGGCGTGCCAGAAAAATTTGTTCGGGGGCCCAAATGCCACGGATCAACTTGACTGTTGCGTTTTAGCGGTCCTGAGTCTTGCCAGAACACCAGCCTTGGGACTTCAGCACCGCCAATCAACGTAACTGTTGCGTCCTACAGCCCTGAATCGTTTTACCACGAAATTTATGGTACGTCGACCATGGGAACCCGAGGACCTTTCACAACTGTTTGAGACGAAGGTGCGCGGCGCCAAGGCGAAAGCTACATGTTGGAAACAAACCGCCCTCAATTCATTAAACTATTCTGCCAAGCTTTAAGACGATTTTCGCGGCGCTTGGGCGAGAGCCACATTTTGATACCGCCAGCCTTCAACCCGCGAAACTTGCGCATTTATTTTACGAATGTGCGCGGCGCTAAGGTTAGAGCCACATTTGAAAACCGCCCGCCATAAATCCGCGAAGTTCTTGCAAATGTTTAAGACGAGTGTGCGCGGCGCGAAGACGAGAGCCCCAGTTTGAAAGCCGCCCGCCCTCCATCTGTGAAACCGCTGCCAACTTTCGAACTTCAGGATCATACATGGTAAGTTTGTTTCCGGCACAACGCACGGCCCGCCCGTCCGACTTGCCTCGGGGTGTGACAGGAGGAAATTATGTATAAGGACAAGCAATGGAGGAGGAGGAGGAGGAGGAAGAGGAGGAGAGGAGGGGGAGGAGGGAAGAGAGAGGAGGGAGGAGGGATGGGGAGGAGAAGGATCAGGTGGATGAGAAAGAGGACGAGGACGAGTAGGCGGAGGAGGAGGAGGAAGAGGAGGGCGAGCAGAAAGCAGAGGCCCCTTGGATGCTTCTCGAAGACTTCGGATGCCTCTTGAGAGCTTCTGGTAGGTCTGTGGGGGCATATTGGGGGCTGCGTGGCGGTCCTGGGAGCCTCCTGGGCGCCTCTTGCGGCAAGATTGGGAGCCTCGGGGGCCATCTTGCGGCCATCTTGGAGGAGATCGATCCAAGAAGGCTCAATTAGCACCGCCCATCCCAGGAGGCCAAAATGTGGCCAAAACGTTAGTAAACTCAATGATCTCGGCTTTCTCGCAGAGGCCGCTTGGGGCGTCTGTTGTGCCTCTGGGTGGCCTCTTGGGGGTATATTGGGAGCCTCGTGGAGGCATGTTAGAGGCCGCTTGGGTGGGGGGGGCCTCGTTGGGCTTCCTGGGCACCTCTTGGAGCCGTCGTGGGGCACCCTCGGGAGCCTCGCAATGGTAACTTAGAACACACACACACACACACACCAGGATGCCAAAATGTGGCCAAAACCTCCGTAAAGTCAATGATGTTGGCCTTCTCGCCGAGGCCTCTTGAAGCGCCTTGGCTGCCTCAGGGGAGCCTCTTGGGGGCATCTTGGGGGACTCTTGGGAGCCTCTTGGGGCCATCTTGGGTGCCTGTTAGCGGCTCCTGGTTGGGGCCCTTCTCGGGGGACTCATTGGAGCCTTTGAGGCCATCTTGGAGGAGACCCCTCCCAGAGGCCAAAATGCAGCCGAAACCGTAGCGACCTCAAGTATGATTGCCCCGTCCAGACCCAGGGGGAGGGGGGAAGGGCCCCCCCCCCCCAGAGGAGACGAGGGAAGGTGGAAGAGGAAACTCCCTGAACCACTCGCGCCCTCAAGGGCTGGTGGGATTTATCTTCAGACCGTCACCCAGCAGGGCTTAGACGACGGGAGGCGGCGACGAGGCGGCGACGGCGAGCACGGAGCCGCCAGACCGCGACCCAGGGCCAGACGACGAGGCGGCGCCGGAGCGGCGACGGCGAGCGCACGGAGCCGCCAGACCGCTAGCCCAGGCCCAGCTCCTTAGGACAGAAGTACACCTTGTAGATTTCTAATGCTTCGAAAGTTCTTTGATTTCGGGGGGGCCAAGATCCTCTCATTTCTAATTGTTCTATCCTGGGCCTCTTCCTGGCCACAAGGGGGCCAGGAACAATTAGAAACGAGCACAATCAGAAATGAGCACGATCAGAAATGAACTACGTGCAAGAACCCCTTAAGTGCAAGCACTGTTTCGGGAAAGCGGGCCCAAGCTCGTTTTCTCAAATTCCGGAAAGCTGGCCCAGGTCTCCTGAACGTTATCTTTCTTGATCGCATTTTCGGCCGTACGTTTTCAATGTGCATATACGTGTATAGTTGTACACATAACGAGAGACCTGGAGGCAGGGGGCCACGACCACTACCACAAATGAGGTGGGCGTGAAACTGACCCCAAGCGTGTTCCCCTCACTTCTGTAAATGATATCCTTCACCTGTGTCATTCCGTACTAATGCACCAAATTCAGCCTTACAGTAAAAGCGCGTTTACATCTGCTAGACCTTGCTAGTCATTGTATTCTCACTCAGGGTAGTCAACTTCCCATTGTGGCTTGCAGCTGTGGGCCCTGGGTGTATTTTCCTGCATGTCGATTTTCGGAACCCTTTCGGAAATAATTTCCGAAAGGTTTCCCGAATCCATAATGAGCCAGGTTGTGCATTTCTCGAGTTCATTGTAGGTGAGTGTTTCGGGCAGTCTAGTGAGCCATGGGGCCCGTAATCGAACGGGACAGGTCCCACAGTTTAGGTCTGTCCTAGTCTGAGCCCTGTAGGTCCACCACAGCCCGCCGACAGACCATTTGAGCACATGTGCACAAATGGTTCTTTGCCTTCTGAATGTACAGTGTAGTGTAGCAGACCGTGCATGCAGGCAGCGCGGGTGCAGCAGAGGAGCACGGCGGGCCACCGCAACCGTTGGCTCAAGACCGAGGTAAAATACATTATTGTCATCGCATCGTCTGTCGATTCGTTACTGTCAGTTTGTTCTGATACGTTCCCAGACCAGAACTGTTTGGAATAAGTGGGCAAATTTGGTGGACACACTGGGGAGCACTTCATCAGTCGAGGTGCTCTCCAGAGGAATGAATCCAGACAGAAACGCCCCTGCCGGAGGATCAGGGCCTGCACGAGCGGGATCGGCGTCCAGGCGCCGGGAGCCGTACCGAGTGGGCTCGCCGGCGCGGCTGGCCCTGCCAAGTCCCGGGCGGCTGATGGACGTCGCCAGCCTGGCCGTCGCAGCTCAGGGTGGTCCAGGTTCGCGTGAGCCATTGGCCAGAGGCGAGGGAAGCGCTGGGCTGGCAGCGCCGCCGGTCTTCGGTGGCGAGCCAGCAAAGAGATGGCGTTTCGCCGAGGTCCAGACCGTGGAGCGCCGAATCGTGCAGGTTGGCGTCGAGCGCCGCAACGATGTGGAGCTCCAGCAGCAGATCAGCACCTATGTGGCTGGCATCGTTGACCTCCAGCAGGGCAGGCACGAGCTGGAGACCGTAGGTATGCGCTTGAGGGTCACTGAGGCAGAGCTCGAGACGGCGAGGGACGGCCTCAGGCTCGAGTACGACGAGGCCAAGCAGTACTTGAACCACGAGAAACGCGAGTACGAGCAGCAGATCGGTCGTGCTCGGCATGCGGCTACCATCCACATCCAGCAGGAGTTGCAGCAGTGCGTCGAGGAGCGCGACGCTGCGATGGTGCGGTCCAGGGATGTCCACAATGCCGAGATGCGGGTCTTGGATGCCGAGGCCAATCACGTCTTGGTTACAGGTCGTGTTGAGAACGAGCTGCGGTCTGAAGTCGGAGCGATTAAGAGGGCGCGAGACACGCCTCAGGCCGAGTGGACCGAGGCGACCGAGCAGGTCCAGAGCGCCGAGGCGAAGGTGCAGCAGAGAGGCATCGCAAAGGACCAGGACTTCGAGCGTCTCAAGGCGGAGGCGAGCGACTTGAATTTCAAGTTGCAGGAGGAGTCCGAAATCGCGCAGTTGGCGCGTCGGCGGCTGACTACACGTGCCCAGTCGTCGGACGCCCAGCTGCGCGGGGAGCTCAACGACGCGGCCATGAAGTGCGAGATGGTGGAGGCCGAGGCGTCCAGGCAGATCGCGGCTGCGTGGGCTGAGTGCGACATGAAGGTCGAATCAGCTCAGCACGAGGAGCGGGAACACAAGCGAGGCGCAGATTCGGCCAGGGTGAATTTCTACGCAAGCCAGGCTTTGCACAACACCGAGAAGGAATACTACGAGCACGAAGTCGACGAGTTGCGCGCCGAGTCCCGCGAGTTGAGGGACGAGAAGGCGGCCTTGGCGAGGGCGGCCCAGGAGCTGATGGACATCCAAGCTCCAGGACCGCATGAGCATGAGTACGCCGAAGGCCATTGGGAGCAGCAGGACGACATGGATTTCGGCAGTCGGACTGGACCAGTCGATCCAGGACCTGCGGTCCCACCAGGACTCGAGGCAGTCGGCGGCAACGCCGGGTGCATCGTCCCAGGACGCTGGCATCGCCGCAGCCATGATGGAGCTCATGCGCCAGATGGCCGACCAGCAGCGCGCTGGGGTCGAGGAGCAGAGCGCGCTGCTGAGGGGGCTTACGCGCGCCCAGGAGAGCTTGGCCGAGGCGCAGCGCGAATCCCAGTCGAAGCTGAAGCCAGCGAAGCCTTCGCTCACGGGCAAGGATGCGAGCACCTTGAAAGTCGAGCTTGAGAAGTTCCGCACCTACCAGAACGAAGCGCGCCAGAACAGCAAGGCGATCTGGTTCGAGGGCGCGAGGGCCATCGCTGATGGGCACCGCGAAGATCGAGCTCGAAGACATGATCGTTACCGAGATGGGTGGCGAGGAGGCTTTCCAGAAGCTGGTTCGTGTTCGGGACGATCCGCGATGGGACCTCTACTGGTCTCGCTACGAGCGCAGGCTGAAGCGGGCCGTCCACCTCGACGACGAACACGAGTCCAACGAGGCGGTCCGGCGCTACAGCAGGTTGTCCTTGCCCAAGGACGCGAACCCGGAGGGCGTTGCCAAGTTCTTGAACGAGTACACGGGCGCCAGGACCGACATGCTGAAGTACGGCCTCCTGACCGATGACGCGGAGAGCCCGATGCTGATGAGGGAGATCGAAGAGTTCAAGACGAAGATCGAAGGCAGCGCTCTGTTGATCTACTTGATGGACCTCCCTACCTTCCCGAGGCGCATGGCCATCCGCGAGGACGAGGACAGCAGCATGACCATCCTGGGCCGGTGCCGCCAGCATGTCAGGGCACGAGCTCGAGTGGGGCTCCAGTCGTCCGAGACGAAGCCGGGGCAGCTGCTGAACACTTCGATCGAGCCGAACGCGAAGCGGTCGGCCGCGGCCAAGAAGGAGGCCAAGAGGCAGGAGGAGGCGAAGGTGGCGAAGGCCAAGCAGATCATCGAGAGCCTGCAAGGTGCTTCGGCGGTATCGTCAGGTTTTCCGCCCCCGCCAACTCCGACGGCGCAGCAGCTGGACAGCCGGCGGAGGGCGGCCCGCGAGCCAGACAAGGGCAGGTCGAAGGCCGAGGCCGCGCCGCGGGCCGGCACAGGCGATTGCCCGCGTTGCAAGGGCACGCACCCCGAGTGCTCGGTCTGCCCGAATCAGAAAGCCAGCGAGGAGCAGGGCTGGGACGTCACCAAGGCGGTGAGGGACGCCATCCCACGCTGGTACAAGCATTTGAACAAGGGCCAGGCTTGCGGAGGCATGGGTCACCTCAGTCGCCACCACGCCCCTTGCTACACCGAGAAGGGCGCCAAGGAGGCGGAGGAGTACCTCAAGCAGAAGGCCGACAAGGGTGGTGGCAAAGGACGAGGTAGAGGTGGCGAGCAGGGCGGTGGTAAGGCGAAGTCCAAGGGAAGAGGCGGCAATGCCCGGTTGCTCACGTTCGAGGGCTCGCACGCCACTGACCAACAAGAGCGGACGGACCGTGCCGCGAGGCTCCTGGCGTCGTTGATGACGATGGAGACCGACAACGACATCGACAGCATCGGGGGCGAGGCCAAGTCCAAGAAGCTGTCCGATATGAATCTTAATTCGAGCGAGACCTTCGACTCGGACTTGTGGGGCCCAGCTCGCCCGTGCAGCTGGCTTAGGCGTACTTTGTCTCAGGTGCGCTATTTCACGGGGAAGGCCGTCATGTTCCTCCTTGGGTTCGCAGCCCTCATGATGGTGATCGGGGTCATCGCTTGCGGCATTGAGAGCAGAGTTGCCAATTCGCCCTCTCCGCTGATGGCAGCAGCGGCGAACCACGAGCTCGTTCGCAAGGTCGGTCATCTTTCAAGCGGTGGCTCCAAGCATATGGTCTTGCAGGTGTCGGGCGGATACAATTGTCGAGCCTTCACGTGGATAGGGGAAGCGAGAACTGAAACAGTCTTCGGTACCGGAGCTACTCGCAACTCCATAGACCGCGACTTCCTGAAGGCACTGCTCGAGGAGCCCCGGACGTCCAACTTCGTCGAGGACGTGGAGGCCATCGAGCCAATCACCTGCCGCTCTTTCGAGCGCGGCCAGACGGTGGTGGTGAACCGACTCGCTACATTGAAGGTTTCTTTTCTCGAGAACGGTGCTGTCGCCTGCGAGACGGTCAGCATGGGGTTCCTTGTCGTGCCGAATTGCACAGAGGACTTGCTCATCGGGAAGCCATCCTTGGACAGGTGCGGGTTCGTCTCCGACCGTGACTCCATCGAGCTCAGGTCGCTCGGGGTTCGCTTTCCGACCGTGCTGCCAGGCGAGCAGGACGACCCGAATACGCAGACCTTCCTGCGGTGCTCGGACCACATTGTCGTGGAGGCGCCGCCTGGCCAGAGCATCGCGAAGACGATCTCGATGCGCGCGCCGCCGGAGGCTCGCTCAAGCAGCCTTTGGATCGAGCCAGGTCCTGATCTACCCGACCATTGCCAGGTCATCGAGGGGCCGCTGATAGTCCAGAACGGCACCTACAACGTGGACCTGATCGTGCACGATCGCGTGCATCTTGGCCCTGGTCAACGACTACTTCGCGCCCGTGATGCCACCCAGCGCGACTTGGACTTCCTCAACGCCCTCGGCAGGGAGGAGTCCAGACGGGCGGCGGAGATATTTACTCATTGTGGCAGGCTCGAAGCGAGGCCTACTGCAACTCAGAGGTCGAGACAAGTGCCAACGCTGCTACGTCGGCAAGTACTGCGACAGAGGCCCAGATGCTGAAGACGTCCTACAAGACTCGTGGAAAGAAGGAGCGCCACGAGGTCCTCTTCCCCGACCTGGTGAAAGAAATCGAGGAGGACAAGAAGAAGCGCGCGTCGGAGGTCAGCTGGCCGAACCAGGAGTCCGAGGCCTACAAGGACGAGGCTGAGAGGCAGGCAGGCCCTCTCCTGGGGCCGCAGCTCACGGGGAAGCAGAAACGCCGCTTCCTCACCAAGGTCGTGCGTGCATTTACGTGCTGTCTGTGGCTGCCTGGCTGCAACCCGCCGAGGGTCAAAGACTTCGTGGCCGACATCAAGGTCAGGCCAGATGCGGTGCCGAAGGTCACGCAGCCGTTCCCCCTCAGCAAGTTCGACGAGCTCCGTTTGCGCTACCACGAGGACGTCGAGGTCGAGGAGGGCAAGGCACGTTGGCTACTTCCAGGTGAGCGTTCAGAGTGGGGATCTCCTTCGTTCGTAGTGGACCAAGACAGCAAGGGTCTCCTCGGGCGCCCTGTCAGGGACTACCGATACCCCAACAGCTGCACCGAGGAGGAGGCGTGGCCGAGCTCGCGCGCCGACGAGTGCCTCGCACGAGCTCAACAAGGAGCTTTACATACGCAGCTGGACTGCATCTGGGGCTTCACGCAGATCGAGCTTGCCCCCGAGGCGCAGAGGGCTTTTACGTTGCTTACCAAGCGCGGAATGCTCCGACCTTTGGTTTTGTTCTTCGGCGCCAAGCAGGGGCCCGCAATTTTCCAGAAGCTGATGGACTGGACGTTCGGGGACCTTCGCGGTAAGGACGACGAGGAGTTCCACTCGGTGTTCATGGACGACTGCACCTTGTCTACCGAGGCGTACGAGCACGACGCCGACGACGACGTGGTGGACCGCCACATCGACCATTGCATTCGTTTCTTGCAGGCGGCCAAGGGCAGGAACATTCAGTTCAAACTCACGAAGTCCAAGTTCGCGCACGAGTTCATCCATCTCTTGGGTTTCAAGCTTGGGCGTGGCCTTCGCTACGTGGACCCAGGCAAGGATGACAAGATTGAGAAGTGGCCGGAGCCCAAAAGCATCGACGATCTGGTCAGCTTCAGGGCTTACTGCAACTTCGTACGCGAGTTTATCCCGAACTTCAGCTCGTTAGAGACGCCGCTCAAGAAGTTTATGAAGAAAGGGGCTAAGTTCGTGGACTACCAGAAGGACGCAGAGGCACAGAAGGCTTTCAACGTGCTCAAGCGCTCGCTCGCCCGTGAGGTGGGTCTTGCCACGCTGGATTACTCCGCGGCAGCCGACCCGAGTTCGGGTCGCCCCATCGAGCTGTACGTCGACGCCTCGGACATCGCATGGGCGGCTACCCTAGCTCAGCGGCGCGAGAAGGACGGTCCCTTGCGCCCAGTGGCCGTAGTCGGCCGCGGCTTCAACGCCACCGAGCAGGGCTGGAGCACGTTCGAGCGAGAGCTCTGTGGCCTCAGGGAGGCTTTGTCTGCCACCCATCATTTGACAAAAGGGTTCGTTGTAATAGTCTACACGGACCATCGGAATAATATCTTCACCGACTCGCTGTTCGCCAACAAGCGTATCTCCAAGAAGCTGTTGCGCTGGGCCCTCGACCTGGAGGACTTGGGCTCGCGGGTCGTTCGAGTTTGGCTGCGAGGTGAAGACAACGTTCTGGGCGACGCCCCTAGTCGCAACCCCGAGGACAGGGACATATTGCATACTCTCCGAGTTCCTGGTGGACCTGTTCGTCGAGTCATAGAACAGATGTTCACGGCGCCCACGAGCGCAGAGGAGCAGGCGCAGATGGATCGGTTTCTCGAGGAGATCGATGGCGCCCCAGTCAAGCCGAAGTCCGGCAAGGTCGACGACGAGACCCAGAAGGCGAAGTTCGCCAAGGTAAAGCCTGCCGAGACCGATGACGCGGTCCCAGCCACAGAACGGATGGCTGCTCCCTCTACTTCCTCTTCTACCAGGTCGAAGTACCATGTCGGTACAGCGGGCCCGATGTCGCGTGGCACCGCTCCAGAGTATCCTGATCGAGCTGCAGACGTCGCTGGCATGGGGGATGCCGAGGCTGATGATCAAGTCACGTGGCCTTCCTCACTCGATCAGATTGGCACCGACGGCGCGGACTCTGACTCTGAGCCGGAGGCTTACGCCGGCCTTCGGCAGTCCGTGCGCGCCTACGCGGAGGGCGACCCCCAGGTCGAGGCGAACCTCTGCAAGTTGGTGGCCAGCGTCGTGGACCCCGAGCGCGACCCGCTCGAGGTTCGCCCTGTCTTTGTCGACACGCACTCGTGGGACGGGTCTTATCCGCGTCACCCCCCGGTGACATTCTTGCCAGCGGCCTCGTCCGCCGCGGCCGGGCCTGAGGAGGATCCTCGACTCCCACGAAACCCGCGAGTTCTACCTTACCGCATCACCTATGTCAAGGACGAGCGCGGCGAGAATTTCACCGTCCAGTACCGGGCGCCGCAGGTCTGCAATGACGGAGTGTGCAGGAAGACCATCTGGTACAGGTGCAAGCCGAACGGGGTCGCCGACGGCTCCGAAGAGGCGCTTGCTGGGCGGAAGAAGGCAGAGAACCAAGCATGGGCTCA